GGGACCAAGGCGGGCCGGAAGCGCTTCCCAGGAAGCTCCCGATTGTATTAACCCACCATCAAAGGGGCTTTCATCATGCAGATATTAGCACAAAGAGCTATTGTCGTAGCTGAAGGCTAGCCGCCTCTCTGTGGAAGGTGATCATATGAGAGGAAAAGGAAAAACCCAGAAAAATAGCGGACACTCACAAAGCCGCAGCACCCAACCTTTGAACATGTGGGGCTGGGACAGACATCAGTTTGCAGAATGGCGGTCACAAGCCCACTGGAGTAAGGCCAGTGGTTTTCAACATCTTTATGCCTGTGGGCTGGCACCAAGAGTGCCCACCAATGGGTATTCACAAGGCCAGGATTCATTTGAGATCTTCTTATTTTTCAGTTCATTTCATTATTTATTTATTTATTTATTTTTGTAGTACCAGGAATCAAATCCAAGGTCTCACACATGCCAACCAAAGTCTCTACCTCTGTGCTCCACGCAGCACCCAACCTGTATTCATTACGTCACTTCAAGTGAAAACATGCAACCTTTCAGAGGCACCTGACTACTGTCACAGTGTCAGGCAGAAGGACCAGGGGAGTAGCTCGGGGGGTGGGGGGGACACACCCCATAGATACAGGCCCGGGTTTGATGCCAGGCACGGAAGAGAAATCCATAAAATAACTGTCATATAGAGTTTCTTCCTTTAGCAAACCCTGCCGCCAAAGGGTGTCCGACAAAACGAATCACAACAGCAACACACATGAATGCTAGAAACGGTAACGGTGGTTAAGAGAAAATGCTAATGCAGGCAAAGAATCCGCAGAATGCCCCTAACCTTCAGGAGTCCTAGGAAGGGAGTGACCCCACCTCCCCAGCTCTCTTCACTCCACCAGGTTAATCCAAGTTCTAGCCAAATTCTTAACTCCTCCAGTTTGTCAGATTTTGGAGGAAGATTCCCTGTGCTGGTTCAGACTTAACAGGAGGCCCGCTACCAGCCATGGCCTAAGAGAAGTCCCCTCTTTGTAACAAGTGCTCTTGGCGGATTGTTCCAGAACAAATAAAAAATCAAGGTGGGGTTGAGGTGAGGGGAGGCATGGCAAGAGGAAGATTAAGATCCCATCTCCACTTACCAGGCCATTTTATATCAACACATTGGCCAGAGAAGGGTCTGGCCCTGGGCCAGGGAGCCCCAAATAGGAAGGAGTCTGGGATGCCAGAGTCTTCAATCCACATCAGGAACATCAGGGTTCACACCAGTCACACCTGGTTCTTGGAAATACTTCCCTGTCCTCTACTCTGCTTCCAAATAAATAAATAAATAAATAAATAAAGCAAGGAGGAATGAGGGAGCTGGGAAGAACCTTGAACAACAGCACCCCCAAGCCTAGAAAAGTACAAGTCATGGCATTTAAAGCCACACCGTGGTTTGTGCTGGGGACCCAGAGAAAACTCCCGATCCCAGGCGGGGGCTCTGCTTCCTCACAAAAGAACTCACCTCCACACAAGCCCCATCCACCGCTCAGACAAACCCAGAAAAAGGAAAAGTCTACTCTGGGGTGTTCCACACACTAGGATGGGCAAAGAGAGAGGGAAGACAGAGAAAGCCCCTCATCAATGAAGAGGTCCCATCGACACCCAGCGGGGGGGGGGGGGGGGGGGGGGCGGGGAGCCTGAATTTAATTGCGAAGCTTTGTTCCTGTCTTTCCTCCACTAGCCAGGAGGCCTCTGCATGTGAGCCCAGCTGAGACTGGGGCATCTCAGCTCTCCCTTCTGCTCTGCGGCTTGGAGAATTTGCTATGACCCAAACAAAGCAGCAGAAAAGCAGCCCAGGCCGGCAGGGACTTAGCCCAGCTGCTGCCTCCAGGTCAAGGGTGTCCTGATTCTTCTTCCAAGGGCCTGAGGTCGCTGAGACAGGAGGCACTGGCCTATGTTTTATTCTGTTTGGGGGCCACACTGGCTCTGCTCAGGGAACCCTCCTAGTGCAGCTTGAGAGATGCTATGGGTGCTGGGATCAGGGGTCTAGTAGGGGACCAAAAAATGTTCCCCAACCAGTATTTAAATAAACAACAGGTAGGACATTTGCCTTGCACGTGGCTGGCCTGAGTTCAATTCCCGGCATCCCATATGGTCCCCCAAGCACTGAGCACTGCCAGGAGTAATTCCTGAGTGCAGAGCCAGGAGTAACTCCTGAGCATCACTGGGTGTGACCCAAAAAGCATAAAAATAAATAAAATAAAATAAACTATTGGGGGTGGGAAGTGAGGAGCCACACGCAACTGTGCTCCTGGCTCTGTGCTCAGGGACTCCCTCCAGGCAGGCTCAGGAGGCCAGATGGGGCGCCAGGGATCAAACCCGGGCGGGCCGCTCACAAGGCAAAGGCCTCCCTGCCCTCCTCTCTTTCCTGTCCCCTGAAATATTTCAATTCAAGGACGGACTTGTCTGAGTAGGAGTGCCTCTTTTTTCTTTTTCTTTCAATTCTCTTGACTCCCAAACTCAGTTCAGTTACTAATCGAAAGCCAGGGAAATTTCCTCCTCTTTCAGACGGCTCCAGGCACTCTCAGGCCACACGCTGAGCGCTCTCTCCAACACTGGTCCATCTCCAACACCTGCCTTTCAAAATCCACAACTCCAGGGCCGCCATGGGAATACTTGGGCCAGTGGAGCTCATCGTGTGGTGAAGGAAAACGCGAGTTTTCCTGGTGAGCATGTGCTGCATTCCTTTATAAGCCACACAGACGGACTTACGGCCCCCCTACTGCAAAGACCAAGAAATAAAGAAATCATCTCCCAATACTGACATACACGACCTTGGATCAGATTCCGGAAACCGGCTTTCTGGACTAGGCTTTCAATTGAGCTTCGTGATTTTCTTCTAGAGCCGATTATAAATTCCTTCGCTTAGCAACAAAGGAAAGAGGCGCAGATGGGCTCTTTGCAGGCATGCAAATACATCCAACACATCTCTACTTCTACCAAAAATGTGGGGGCAGTCCCCCATTTCATGTGCAGATAAAGCAAAAAAGAAATGAGAAAGATGGCAAGTGTTTTTAAAAAGCAAGGAAGCCCCTTCCAGCATCAGGAATGAAATTCAGAGCTTTGGGGGAAGATATGCAACTCTGAAGATAAATTCTCACTAAGTGAATGCAACAAGCAAGTGAAGCTTGTCAAATCTCTGGGATGCACATACTGACTACAAAGGCAGGGGCCTTCCTGGCCACCAGGAGGATACACAACACGTTAGCTCATTTTGGGGGGGCCAGAGGGTGGTATTTGGGCCACACCCAGTGGTCTCAGGATTTACTGCTGGCTCTGTGCTCAGGAATCTCCTGGCAGGGCTCAGGGGACTCTATGTAGTACCACAGATGGAACTGGGGACGGCCATGTGCAAGAGAAATGCCTTCCATACTGTACTATTTCTCTGGGCCCTCGCCCTTGAATAACTGTGCTTTCCTAAATGAAACCACTATTGCTTCCATTCAAATGAGTTTTTGAACTCAGTGGGGGGCTTGGGGCGTCTGATGCTGCATTCTGCCCCCCTTTAAAAGTGGAAGGCATGGGCCCAAGAGATAGTACAGCAGGCAGGGCACTTGCTTTGCACATGATTGACTCAGGTTCAATCCCCAGCCCCATAGGGGACCCCCCAACCCTGCCAGGAGTGTTCCCCTGAGCATAAAGCCAGGAGTAAGCCCTGAGCACTGTTGGGTGTAGTACCCCAAAACCAAACTAACAAAAGGAAGCTAAGGTACATTCTAGAACAATGTAAAGCAGAAGAGACTCAAATTTTACAATATTCTGAGCAAAAATATGACGTTCTGACTCACGGTGTAGCTAATTAATATCTGAAGAACACTATAGTGTTTTGACAATCTACAGATTGCTTCTGTGCGTGCACAAATTTGGCGGTCTAATTTGGCTTTCTAATGAAATGAAGCAAATTGCATACTAGAGTGTTTTTCTCTCCCAGACTGAAAGTACTCAAGCACTAACATGAAGTGGTGGATTGGCGCAGGCTGCCCGACACCCAGGCACTTCTCCACACGGTGCTGGATCTCTACTCAGCTGTTCCCCTGACTTCCACTTCCTGGCTTAGACCCATGCCTTTTTCTTCCCTTCACTCCAGGCAAGAAAAAAAGGTGCATGCATTTTCAGAGTTCTCTCCTCTGATGCAAAGAACAGAATAATACCACTTCCTGAATCTGGCTTTCCCTCTGTCCGCCTCACCTCCTGAAGGCTGAAATCAGATGTCCATGCATTGCATGTGGTTTGAATCTATTCCGTTTTGAAGCAATCAGGCCCCATCTCTAGGTGTAGGGGTTGGAGAGACCACCAACCACCAATATTGGCCCAATGGGAAGGGCCAATATTCATTCCTCTCAAATAATCAGCAACTCTCTCCCATAGTAAAAGATTTGTTTGGAGGCCACAACCAGTATTACTCAGGACTTACTGCTCAAGGATCACTCCTGGCAGGGCTTGTGGGGACCATACGTGGTGCCTGAAATTGAACCCGGGCCAGCCACATGCAAGGCAAGAACCCTACCAACTGAACTATCTCTCCAGCTCCCATAGTGAACGATTTTTACATTGGGCAAAGGGTATACTTGAGGGTCCCAGGAATATTGGAGCAATAGACAGCCTCTAGGAAGAAGGTCAGGATTGACACTCGTCTGTGGCTCAAGCTTAGGAGTCTGGGGGTGTCGTCAAGGAAATGGGTTCCAGACTCTAGGGAAAGGCTAAAGTGCTTCTGCAGCTCTTTGCTGCCACTGGGTGAGAAAAAAGCAATCCACCAAGACCTTGATAAAAATAACCCACAGACAGGGCAACGACAAGGACCTCTTCCTCCCAAGAGCAACCCGCGGGACCTGGGGGACATGATAGGTGCCTTAAACTTCCTAGAAAAAACGTCTGAAAGAACCGCAAGCAAGCTAATAAAGTGATGCAATGCACTCATCAGTGTACAGAGCTAATACCACATTTCGGTCTTCTACTAAAATCAAGTTGGGAAATTTCCAAAGTACCTTTAATGGAGTCATTCTCCGCCCTCATGATGTCGATGAGTGAGCTCTCCAGCGAGTGCATGTCAAACGTCCTGGGGCGATCCTGTCAAGACAAAGTGCCACAGACCACCATTAAGGACAATTTCGCTCTGTTCCTTAGGCCACAGACCAAAGAAGAGGGGATGGTTCTTCCTCTCTAGGTAGGACACAGAAGCACTACATTTTAATACTTACCAAAAATCAGTTTTGACTTAAACAGCAATTTCCGTAAAAGCACTATTTTAAAATAAAGCAAAGACATGGGGCTAGAGAGATAGGACAGTAATTAAGGCATTTTGCCTTGCACGCAGCTGAGGGGTCCTTGCCTAGGGTCCCCTGAGCACTGCCCGGAGTAATCCCTGAGCACTACAGGTGTGCCTTCCCCCAATAATAATAAGCAGTTAACAAAGTAGAAACAAAACTAACTTCTATATTGTTAAGAATCTTAGGCAGGGAGGTGGCCTAGCGGCAGAGCACTCGCTTGCCTTGTACTTGGAGGTGCTGGGTTCCATCCTTGGAACAGGGTGAGGAGGAGGGGGAAGGGGAAGAACCCTGAGCAAGTATAAAATTTAAATCGGGGGGGCTGAAGAGATAGCACAGTGGGTAGGGCATTTGCCTTGCACACGGACGACCCGGGTTTGATTCCCAGCATCGCATATGGTCCCCTGAGCACCGCCAGGAGTAACCCCCGAGTGCAGAGCCAGGAGTAACCCCTGTGCATCGCCAGGTGTGACCCAAAAAGAAAAAAAAATGAAATCGGAAAATCTTTCACTGCCATTTCAGAGGCAGTAAGAAGGCAACGGTTCCCTAACACATTCCAGCAATGATCAATAAACCAGCATTTCCACGTGCTACTGGTGCTACAATGTACCAGCGAGGCACAGGTCCAGTTTCTGTAAGCCACGCATGGTCTCCAGTCGCCAGATGTCTAGAGGACCACTAAGTGATAAGGCATTCCAAAACAAATACCATCAGGAAATTGGGCCAAGGGAAATTACACTCTTGCCTGTTTTTGTTTTTTCTTTAAAAAAAGAAAAATGAAATAAAAATAGAATTGGTTTATCCATGTCTCTATCGCTATGGCTGTCCTTGAAGGTTAATGACCGATCTTCTCTAAAAATTCACGCTTAAAACTTAGATCCCCATATAGGAAATAGGCAAGATACAGGGCTGGAGAGATAGCACAGTAGGGTAGGGCACTTGCTTGCATGTTGTCAACCCAGATTCGATTCCTGGCACCCCATAAAGTCCCTTGAGTCCTTCCAGGAGTGATCTCTGAGCTCAGATCCAAGAGTAAGCCCTGAGCACAACTGGGTGTGGACCCCAAAACAAAAACAAACAAACAAAAATAAATAAAACAGATACTATATACATACACACACACATAGACACACACACACACACACACACACTCACTCTTCTGGTAGACTCACCTTCCCCAACATAAAAATCCATTTGGGATAATGGGGGGCAGAGCTCCTCTATGACCCTTTACTCTAACCTCTGAGGAAAAGAAGCAAGACAAAACTGCTGACACATGTCGCTCCCTGTCCTCCCTGTCCCCAAAAATTCTAGGCATTATTTCTGTAAACAAAGGATAAGAAGATACTGATCTAAATTAGAAGGAGATGAAAAAACATAAAAAACAACACGAAACTTCAAATTTTGGTGGGGAGAAGGGACTTCTCCCAAAGTAGTGCTCAGAGGGGACTCTGGGGTCACTCCCAGCGACACAAAGACCAGCTATGTGGGCCAGACACTTCAGTCCTCAGGTTCCAGGGGCGAGGGCACCCCGCATGGGTGCTCGGGGGCCACGTGGTGCAGAGGGGGAAGTCAGGGGAGCCCTTCAGGCTTCTTGCAGGGCTGATACCGAGATGCTTATCCACCTTACTCGCCAAGTCCGGCTATTCTAAGAATCTCCAGGGAAGAAGGGTCATGGGAAATTCGGCACTGGATTGAACCCCAGAATCATGAAAACGTGCTTTAGAAGTGGGGTGACGTGGTGGTGGAAAATGGGCACTGGTGGAGGGATGGGTACTTGATCATTGTATAACTGAAACCCAAGCACAAAAATTTGTAAGTCTACAACTGTACCTCATGGTGTTTCACTAACAAAAATTAAAAATAAAATAAAATAAAGGAAATCTAATAAAAAACAGTGGGGTGAGCCATCTTCAACCTGCCAGTGAACCAACTGCGAACAGCCAAGAGAACATAAATCAGAGTTTAGCTGGGTGAGTGGATAAGGTCCTGGAAACTTTTGAACACTGTGCTCTGGAAGGATACGGTCACATGGAACCCACCAATGCTGCCCGCTGGGAGACCCCTGCAAGAAGAGCAGGGGAAAGAGGCTTCCAGAGGCCTTCACCAGCAAGATTATGAAGCCTTCTCTCCCACTGTACGTTCACCACCTTTTCACTCAAAACCTTGGTGTGGGCAGGCCCAGGGCTTCATGCATACACTGACCAACATAGCCCCAGCCCTGGGAAGAGCAAGCACCAGGAGTCCCCTCCCTCGGGTACCAAACAAACTTAGGCCATAGAAATAAAGGCAACAGTAACTATCTCCAAAGCTACTTCTTTCCTCCTTCCTCTCCTCCAGGCTGGTTTGAAAAACTCCCCTTTCCTGCCACAGAGCTCTGGCTTGCTGTTGCCAAAATAACTCAGGGGCCATGCGTGAGCACATCTCAGCTCACAATTCTTTCTTCTAGAAGTCAAGCTGGAAACAACCATGTGATTTTCTCAGAACTGACATTCTGACAAGCACCCCTAAGTGCAGAAGATAACAGAGCAAGACACATTTGGCTTTTGGTTTCGAGTGAGGCTTCCTTGTGCTTCGAAGTTGCTAAATGTGGTGTCGGAGTTAGCAAAGTTGCCCCATGAATTCCCCCTCACTCGCCCCCCCAAAGTATGCTGCTGCCACCTGGTACACAGAAAGGTTTATCCTAAAAGAGCAAGCACTGACTTCTAGGGGGTGGAGTACATTAAAAGCAAATGCGAGATGGAATGTTAACATTTTAGTACCGCTTTGTAGAATTCAAAAAATATACCGCCTCTGCATCCTGTTATGCCAGCAGAACTTTCCCTCTGGTTGGTTTCTTTCTGGCTTTTAGGAGCAAAAGGCTTCTCGAGGTTTTAGAAATTCAGGGTCTAAAAGACACCTATTTGGGGGTTAAGTAAACATTTGCTTCTCAGGGTGGCCCAAGTTGGTTCCTCTTGTTTGTTCACTCGCCGCCCTTTCTATCCATGTGAAGCATTTCATGTCCGGAGAGTCGGAGCAGGGAGAGACCCGGTCTTGGGAGCTGAGACCTGATTTCATCACGTGAGGCGGCGCTCTGGATCAGTGACGGGCCAAGCATCAGAACCTGCCGACCACTGTTCCAGGAAGTCACTGAAGTTAGGAACGGGCAGCAGGTTAGGGCAGTCCCGCCTGAGCTGATGCGGTTATGGAAACAGCAGCGTCACTCAGTGGGTCGAGAAGGAGGTATGAGGAAGCCCCATGTCGGCCACGTCACGTGAACGTGGGCACGTGCACTGACCTCTCTCTCCCCGACCCGAGAAGGCCAACCCCACGTGATCGGACTTCCAGCATGCTCATGCACTCTGTGCACTTCCAAGCCTGACAGCTTTCACGAAGATCAGAGACCAAACAGGTGAATGCAGACAAGTCAAAATCTGCCCCCACGCAAAACAGAGGGTCACTGGACAGATCAATAAGAAATGAGCCCTCGGCATCTTTAGAAGATCAGCACAGTGTTTTCAACTGAGAGCCTGTTTTCAATGGTTCATCGAGGAGCCAACCCCAGTATGAGTCCCGGCACAGCCAGTTGTCCCCAGCACCCCGGGGAGCCTCAAGTAATTTCCTGACAGCACGGCGTCAAGTATTCAGTCACTGGCGTGGTCGTGGTCGGCTGAGAACTGCCAGGAGGGGCCCCAAATGAAAGAAAAGAAAAGAGTTCGTTGACGGGGATGACCTGGCTTTGGTCTGAAGGTCAAAGCACTTGAGTTGGTGTTAGCTTCCCGACCACCATGGCCAGCTCTGCCGAGGACCACTGCCCCTTTACTGGGCAACAGAAGGGCCTCAGCAACTCAGGTACTTGACTGACATTCTCAATTAGCCTCAAAGCTTGCTATCAGCCCCACTCTTGAGAGAAACATGAAGAAAAAAAGCCAATTTCCCTGTACTGTACAGACAGGCTGGTGCTTAGTTCGGTGGGAGGACTCACCCCCAATCATCCCTTCAAAGCAGCAATGGGCCAGCGACGGAAAGGCCTACAACAACCCACAGGTACATCGGAATCGACAGTGCTCAGTGCCCCAGCACAGGCTGCCTGGAAGCAGGAAGCAATCCATTCCTCCTTGACAAACTGGCCAAGCGTAACTGACCCCTAACAGGAAGAGACAGAACGCGGAGCCGGGTTGCTGAGCCCAGAATATGGATGCGGAAAAGGCCGAGAACATAGGACAGGAAGGAAGGGAGCTGGCCCTGGTTTGAGTCCCCGCACCACGGAGGGTCCCCTGAGCACTGCCAGAAGTGATCTCTGAGCACAGAGCCAGGAGCAAGCGCTGAGCTTAGCTGGTGTGCCCCCCACTCGTGCAAAAATGTGGAATGTGTATGCGTGATAATCATGAAGAGACAAGAGCAAGCTGCTCTCTTGAAGACTCAGCAAAGCCCATACAAAGGCCACGTTTGGCCTCGTCAGTTCTGCGGTCTCCTTGTATCCATCATATAGAGCTGCAGGTTCCTTCTGCTTCGTTTTAGCCTCCTGTCCTGTCTCCCTCACAGGGCAATGCTAAAGGCATACGAGGCAGATGAAAATCTAGCACCTTCTGAAAAATACCAACCTTTTTTTCTATTGGAAAGCAAAGGGCAGGACCTGGATTTTTATTCCACACCAGGATAATCCTAAAAATCTTGGTAAAATAAGAAAAAAATTCACCAGTCTTGAACTGATGATACAGCTTTTCTTTTTCTTTTTTCTTTTATTTTTTTTTGCTTTTTGGGTCACACCCAGCAATGCACAGGGGTTACTCCAGGCTCATGCACTCAGGAATTACTCCTGGC